CCAAGAAAATTATTTTTTCTATAATTTCTGTCTGAAAATTGTGCTGCGGCCTATACACGCACGCGGCCTATACATGCGTAAATACGGTATTTATTTGTGTTATTTTTTAGTTTTAGCATTTGGTGGAGTTGTCTTAGGTTCATTCACCCATTCCTGAAAAGTCAATTGTGACAGACCCTCTTCAATTTAGATCAGGAAACTTAATTTATTAAGCAGCATAACGAAATGGGACCATCAGCTGTAGCGTCAGCTTTTTACATAATAGGTCCTTTCTCTTTATGATTTCTATGTCATATTAACCCCTTTTTCAAAACATTCATTTTACTTATCCGCTTTATTCATACCGCTCATTTAACCACTCATTCTCTACTCTGTTCCTGCACGTCTCCTATTTCCCTCTCTTCTCAAACACAAAAGTTTCCTTGCTATTAAAAAAACATTATTACAGTTAATATTTTGCGGCTAATACATTTTTTCGTAATAACTGACCGTCCTTAATTATTTCTCCCCGTCTCAAACATTCAGTCCCGTGTCATATACAATATAATTCACGTTGACATATAATGTCAATAATAATTGTTGCTTACTTGATCGTACTACTATAAGGTCAATTTCAGACAACCCTTCTTCAACAGAGACAGGCGCTACAGCCCTCACTTGGGCCTTGGCCTTCCTCCATGATACTCTCCGTTTCACTTCGGTTTACTAGATCTTAGACATACGGTAGGACTCCTTGGGCGGGTGATCAGCTCGTCGCAAGGCCTCTACCTGTACACAGACACAGAAAAACGCACACAAACATCCATGCCCTGAGTGGGATTCGATCCCATGGTCCCGGCTTCCGAGCGAGCGAAGACAGTCCATGCCTTAGACCGCTCGGCTACCGTGACCGGCAGACATATTTTATTTCTCGTAAATGTAAAATAATTATTATGATGTTGATTTTTAAAAATTAGGAAAATACTTCATTTTAAACGTAAAACACAATGCAGTATTTCACTTTCCAACATCATTATAATCTTTGAAGAGTTATTTCACTAAGGACTGTTTTTATAAATCCAAAGATATTCTTATCTTGTCCATCGTCGCTTTGGTCCTTCTAATTCTCAGCCCTTCCCCTTGTCGTTAACGGAATTCGATTTGTGGAAGGCGACCTATTTCCATTATTTTCTGATCATTTTTCATAGTTTTTTAGTATTCTTGAACCTCTATAAGTGCATGTGTTACTTTCATTCCTCCCCTTATGTACGAACCTCTTTGTTGATCTACTCTAATTAGGTCCAACAGTGATTCAAAATGCAACTACACTACCTATTTCTATTTTACCCACAATTCTTCAAAGACCAGCCCTTCCTCTCTTAAAAATATACAAATTACAAACTATAATTTTAATGAAAGAGAGTTTTGAACCCGGTCACCTGCATCCAAATTACAATGAAATAAAATATTTAAATTTTCGTTCATTTTCATGGCTTATTAACTACCGTTCCGAAAAACTGAAACCATTTTGCAAATACCCAACGAAACATAACGAAATGACGAGGAAGAGAAAATAAGGCTATTTCCGAATTAGCTACTTTTTCTTTGGTTTCGAGGGGGGTGATCATTCTCTTTCATCAAAATAATTTATTTTCTGTGTGACCCAGTTCTGTGATCCGACTCATGCATTTGCGAGGGAGGGTATATAATAAATTAATAATGAACGCAGTACAGTGGGAGGGATGCTGGACCATGCATATGAGGAGTGAAGAAGACTGCAACGGCGGCAGCGCGGTTGTGTAACTTCACCTGCGTCGCACCAAATTTGGATCGCGTCGCAACGCAGTGTGGGCTTGGCGTCACGACTGGCTTCTCTCCAAGCGTTATCCCCACACTCTATCCCCAAGCGCCGTCAGCTTCGCCAGCTCAGGCAGCAGTGGGCGCGGCCCAGAGCATGCGTTTTTTGTCAAAACTTGAACGAAATGGGCTCACGTTAAACGCTTTTAGAACCTGATTTCAGGAAATTTCCCATACGTTTATCGTGACAAACTATTTGTTATCATATATTCGAACCTCAAAAGAAATTATAAAACAACCCTCGATAAAATTACGGGTCTGACACGCCTGACCTGTTTATTGCATTTATTTATAACTCGTTTAATGACACTGCCGTGGAGCCGGGATAGTGTAGTCGGCACAGCGATTGGCTACGGGCTGGACGACCGAGATCGAGTCCTGGTAGGGTCAAGAATTTTCTCTTCACCTCGTCGTCCAGACCGGCTCTGGGATCCAACCAACCTCCCATCCAATGGATACTGAGAGTAAAACGGCCTGGGCACGAAGCTGACTACTCACCTCCAGCTAATACCGAGATCAAGAAAATGTGGATCTATAGATTCACTCGCCCATACGTCTTCATGGCGTCGTGCTTAATTAGTTATGCACAGAAACAACTTTACCTTTTTTTATTGACATTGTCAGTAGCTCTTGTTATAATGTGGTATAATTTATGAATAATACATTTGGAATGATATGGAAGAAGCCAAAGAGTTCTGATTTGGGGTATTATCTGCCCATTTACGTGTAGGGACTCACAAAAACCACGAAGAACTTGGGTCACAATTGTCGAAATCCAGGTGCAGGTCCTAATCCACTCAACTGTGACGTTCATGTCTGATCTATACAAAGTGAGAAAGAGTAATATTCCAAATCTCACATGTAGGGTCGGATTGAAAGGGGGGGGGATAGCCAGGGCGTCGGCCCCGATGCCTCCACGAATGTGTTGCTCCTGGCAGGGGCCTCCATGCTATAATTGTTCCGATAATAACGCATCTTTTTTTTACCTTTCATTATTTCAAGAAAGTAAGAGATTCTGGCATAAGCAACTTTGTCCAAAATCAAGTTTCAAGTACTCGTATAAACGATGTAACGCCAACCTACTCATTCACAGGGGATACAGAAAACTCTTCAACACATTAAAAATATCTTGGTACAATTTCAGTTAAAATTTGTTTCACTTTCACTAGTTCGAAGCCGGGATAGCTCTGTTGGTATAGCAACAGGCTAAGGGATTGACGGCCGGTGTTCGATTCCCGGCGAGGACAAAAATTTTTCTCTGCTCCGCAGAGTCGAGACAGGCTATGGGGATCACCCAGCCTCATATCCGTTCAACTGGCCCTGGAGAGTAAAGCGCCGGCGCGTGAGCGTCACCAGTCGCCTCCATCTAGGGCCGAGACAAAGAATGGTGAAGCTATACCTCCCCTCCCCCATGTGTCTCAATGGAAAAGTGCTTAATTAATAAAGCACTTCTCTTTACCTTAACTTCACTAGTTTTCATGCTGGCAAGATTACTAAGTCTTTCAAACTTCAGTTTCATGGCAACTCCATTGTTAGTTGAGACTGTTGTCAGTCCGGACAACCTAACCTTCGCACACTGACGTTCTCAAGTAATTTATATTAATTTTATTCTTGAGAAACTTCTAAAAGCGGCGAACTTATAATAATTTTCAATACAACTGCAATATTTCAACAAATACTGTATCTAGGCACGAGTAGTATAAACTTGCAACTTCCCAGAATTCAGAATTAGATAATGCTAGCGATGCAGCTCGCCGTTTCATTACATTGTTGCCTAATATGTTCAGGTAAAGGTAAAGGTAAAGGTGAAGATAAAGCTATGACTGTAACAGCCTTAGAAGCCCATAGGGTTGTGAGACGTCGATATTTTTTAGAAAATCAGTTCACAGATGGCGGTGAGGTTGGGCTACCCGTTAATCGTAAGCGGCCTCCGTAGTCTAGAGGTAACGTTCCCACCTCATGACTCGTGGTACGCGGGTTCAAATACCCGGCGGAGGTCGTCGAATTTTTAAGGGCGGAAAAATTCAGGGAACAAGTCCTCCGGGAGGGACTTTAAGCTGTGTCCGGTGTTGTAACTTTATGGCACGTAAAAGAACCTCATATCCCCAAAGGGGATCACTGAGTCAAATTCCAGGACGTTTCCCGCCCAACAATAGTCTCTAAGGCCTCTGATAGATGGGGGAAGCATTATAGACACCGCTAAGCAAGTGGCCGAACTCGCTTGCTCGGCGGGACTGATGGTACGCACCATTTATCGGTAGGGTAAAGAGACTGGTAGAATATCATAGAGGGAAGCACAATAGATCAAACTGGTCGCGGTGCATGGGGAAACCCACCCTCTCTAAATAACTAACTAACCCGTTAATCGTCGCGATATATACGAACAGTGATTTAATTTACCAGAATTCCAACATGAATGTCGTAAAATGTGTCGTCGCAGGAACCCGCTTTTGTTTTATTGCTAGTGGGATGGGACTAAGTCCCTTGTACTGCGGCCACTTCTGGCCTATTGTACCAGCCCCAGATGATAGGTGAGAGTGATTGTGGAGCAGTTGGTGGAATAAAGATTGGCAGGGGAAACCGAAGTACTCGGAGAAAACCTGCCCCAGCGCCACTTTCTCCACCACAAATTCCACTTGACCAGACCCGGGATCGAACCCGGGCCGCCGCGGTGGGAAGCCAACGACTAACCGCTTGAGCTATGGCGCGGCCCAAGAACCCGCTTGGTACTTGATTAGATTTTTCAGTAAGGAGCAAATGAACAACACCTGTTTGACATCTCCATGAAGCTAATCATTTCTACAGACATCCTTATCTGTGTCTGACGCAGGGCAATATTGCTGTCATGGCTTAATGCACGGAGATACGAAGCTGCTAAGTACGCCTCTGCAAGCTTCGTCTAACAGAATACATAATTCCACCCCCCCCCCCCCCAGTTAAGCTCAGCACTTCCGGTGGGAAACAAAACAGAGTTCGTTGTGGAGTTTGAATCAAATCAAAACACAATTAACTCTTTTCCGCAACTGTAGCATCCATGATACCGTCTCATTACTGACTTCTGTCAATTTTTTGCAGGTACCGTAGTTAGGCCTATAGACTAGAGATGTGGTGTTTGTTTAGTCATGATATGTGAAGTCTGACGTTGATTTTCTGTCTGATTACAGGTCAAGAAAGTAATCCCCACCCAACAATATGCCTTTCAAGCCTGTGGAAAACCCCAAGTGCCCAAAATGTGGCAAGTCTGTGTATGCGGCAGAGGAGAGAGTCGCAGGAGGGCTGAAATTTCACAAGATGTGCTTCAAGTGTGGTAAGTACTTTTAAAATATCTGTATTCGTTTAGTACTGTGATATTCATGTAACAAACATTCCTCGCGTCTCTTAAAAAATGCCCTGTTGACCCAGGAAATTAAAGGCAGCATACGTGTAGACTATTCTTTTTTATTTCTTTAGAAATCCAATAAATTAATAATCAGACTTACTATGACCTTGAAATTTGGTAACTTTACCAACTAATGCTGAAAATATGGCAACGTCTATTCAAGAACAGTTCACTGACACGGTAGTTATTATATTCTTAACAAGCCAGAAAATGAAAACACAACGGAACAATTCTGGTTTTTGCCTTCTATTACTGTTCTTGACTAACTAACTCCATGAAGATGAGCCCTTCTTGAGAAGCCAAGATCCGTTCACCTATTCGAGAACCGCACAACACTTTATGGACACCGAAGGTTCATTGTTATGTTCATAAGAGTCCGTCAACCTCCTTAACCCGAAAGAGATAAATCCAACACATAATGCCCCATCCTATTTCCCTAGAATCGATTGTAATATTATCCTCCCACCTACGTCTAAGTCTTCCTACTGGTCTCTCCCTCTCTTTCTTCTCGACTTTGCCACCAAAATCCCGTATGCGCTCATCTTCTCGCCGTGAAAGCCACATGCCATGCTCATCTCATCCTCCTTGGCTTGATCATTCTAATTATATTTGGCGAAGAGTGCAAATTATGAAGTTCATCATTAAGCAGTTTTCTACAGGCTCCATTTATTTCATCCCTCTGCGGTTAAAATATTCTCAGCACCCTGTTCTCAATCATCCTCAGTCTACGTACTTCCCTTAACGTCAGAGACCGAGTTTCACACCCTTTAAAAACCAGAGGCAAAAATATAGTTTTGTACATTCTAATGTTTACGCGTTTAGACAGCAGACGAGAAGACAAAACGTTCTGAACCAAGTGGTAGAAATCTTTACCCGAATTTAATCTGCTCTTAATTTCCTCGTGAATGAAATTTTGACTTGTTTACTGTCGTTTCCAACTATCTGAACCTTACCAAATTTTAAAATGACCTATTAACTATATTTATGTTACGATTTTGCCTTGCATTCTGGTAACGATATATTAACATAGGCTTGGTTTTCCTTACGTTTCTGATATTGCCCTTGGATTTTAATTTCGTGAATTTTATTCATGATATACTATAAATAGATTAAAGCAAGCGGGGCAGATGAGAAAGTACCTAACAAACTTTGATCAAAATCAGTCCAATAGTTCTCGCGTCATGGGATAACATTACTTAAAAGTCCAGAAATCCGATCATTTCGAAACCTGTAACATTTAAAGTGATGTTGGGCATAAAATGCGTTTCATTCTCTTTTACGACTGTTCGAATAGAGCGGGATACTTCAGTCGATATAGCGACTAAGCTATGGGCTGGTCAGCAGAGGAATAAAACTTCAATTAGGCAGGAGTACGAAATTTGTTCTCTCCCAAGTGTCCAAACCGGCTCTGGGGCACTTTGCCCAATGGGCGCCGGGGCCTGTTTCCTCACGATAAACCTGCTTGAACTTGAAGCAGTGCCGAGGCTGAAATTTCATGACGCTATACCTCAACTCCCCATGTCTTCAGGGTGTTCTTAATTAGGCAACTTCTGCCTTCTGTTGTTCGAATAAATTTTCGGCCCAATAAATATTTAGAGAGTTACTGCCCGAAATGCTCATCATGTAAAGTGGGCAAAACTGGAATGTGTGGCAAAAATACAGTATAATTCTCAGCGCCAAACTTCATGAAAATTCGTTCAGCGATTCATGAATTACTACGTTTTCATAATTACACATGGCAACTTTCTATAATGGACGCAGACGCGCCAAAGATGACAACAAATGGCACGGATATTGCAACACGCATTCATTCAAATCAGTGCTACTGGCTGAGAACGGAGCGACTGTGGTATTCTGCTGCCACCTATCTGTCGGTACGCAGTATGACTACTATTCAGAAGACCCAAGAATCTGTGTCTATTATCTGAGCAGTTACGCGATGCCAAAATACTGTGGCTGTATTACCATGGTCAAGGGAGAAAACGACTGTGGGTTATTTTAAGGTCCTATCCAAATAACTGTCAGGACAGTCCAGCCTGTATAGCAACGGACTACGGACTGGATGGCACGGGTTCATTTTCCAACAGTACTAGACATTTCTCTTCTCCATAACGTCCAGATGGTCCAGACCGACTCTGGGGCCCACCCAGCTTCCAATACAGTGGATACCGGGGGAGGGTCTTTTACCCGGGGTAAATTGGCAGGGGCACATCCATCTACTACTGAGGTCAAGAAATATGGAGCTATAGCTCTACTCCACCATATGTCTTCATGGCATAGTCCTTGACTAATTAAGCAAAGGGACTAATTTTCCTTCACCTTGCCGAGATAACTGCTTGAAAGGGCTGAGTAGAGACATGAACAACCTCAGGTCAGCCAGTCAAGTAACCAAGAACTTCCTGATTTTGAATCCAACTGAATAATGTGAAACTAATTATCTTCGGATTACTGATGGGTGTCTATGCGCAGCAATTGACATATTCAGGATAATAGGTTATATTTAATCGTTGTCCTTTATTTTGTAGTTCACACAGGCTATTAACATTTACATTCTCTGGCACAGAAACTGGACACTTGGTCAACTAGGTTGTCTTAATTTATAACAAATACAAACCATTCTCCCCTTTAATGGCCCCACTAAACTGTTACATCTGAAACTTTATTCCTGTTAGAGCACTATAAATTCATACCGTACCCAGAAGAACAAGATCAGATTCACTTTCGGAATCTGTATGTGTGGATCTTTCTGAGTCAGTGCCCCGTGCTGCCACAGTGCTTTGAATGTGACTCTTTGGATCTTCGCCCAACTGACAGAGGTTACTTATTGCCCTGGCAAACCATTTGAATGAAACTAAGATGTATTTAACTAATCAGGCTGCCTATTCTGAACTAATTCACCAAACTTTAAAGAAAACAGGGGTTTCAGAAAACTTATGATGCTTATTCTTTCAGGTAATTCATGATTGTGAGGCTAGGAAGAACTATAAAATAATAATTATACAGTTTGATAACCCATTTTGTGCAAATTCCCACTAGTACAGATTAGAACTACATTATATTTGGCCAATATAACCTTAAAGTTTGGACAGTCACCATGTCTGTAACTGATAATCCCTCCATATAAAAACAAATGAAACTCCATGGCCTGTAGTCAGGAAGCGAACTATACCAACCGAGCAACCGCCGGTTGTCGGTGACGTTAGTGCAAACTTTTGCGGATAGAGGGTGTCACATGGTCAGCGCAACGAATTCACACAGCCGTTAATTTAGGTTTTGTAGACCAGAGCCGTTATTTCCTTGAAAGAGCTCCTCAATTATCCTCAAGAGACTGAGTGAACCCCGTTCCAGACCCACTACTTCTCAGAAAATCTGGTAGCACCGGAAATCGAACCCAGGATCTCTGGACCTGTAGCCAGGAACTCTGACCACTAGACCACAGAGGCGGTATAAAAAATATTTTTTCCTTTCCCTGTCAGTCACGACAAGTTCATGGGAACATCAATGGTAATGCCATATCATGGCTCACACATACACACACACACACACATATATATAGACTGCAGAGTAAGGTAGCATAAACATAGTTCTGTGTGCATTGCATAGTTCAAATTGAAGACATCAGACAGAGATGCCAAACATCACAAGTACATGACAACTGCCCCTTCCAGTTGTAATGTGAGGTGCAGATAAAACTTGCCATTTCATTTTTAGCATCTCTCTTTCAAATTACGAGATAAGAGATACCCAGCTCACAAATTAAAGGCCCAGAGCTGAATCTCCTTTTGGCCAGTGACTTAGGCATTGCTAGCATCATTACAGAGAAGAGAGAGAAAGAAAGTAATTTCATACATGATTTACTGATATAATTCATGATATATCTACATACAAAATTTCATGTGTCTGCCTCCAGTTGTTCATTAGTCATTAATATTAAACCAAAAGCAAAATATGAATTTTATATTGTCACCATATTATTCCTTTACCGTTCACAGAAAGAAATGTGGTCCCAATAAAACCCAAACATTTTAAAATACCTGTTACCACACAAAATAATGATATATTATATATTGGTTACTGTAATTATTATTTTTAAACATCAATTTAAATAGTAAATGAGATTAAGCAACAATCATTTGTAACCACTTTGGACTGGGTACCATTTCCTGCTTCAAAGAGAGATCACATGGAGCAGAAAAAGTAGATACTTCTTATATTTCAGTTAAACTATGTATTTTGCCATTTTTTATTAGAAAGAATCCCATATAAACTTCTAATTGATATTTGCCCACAAACTGTACAATTTGGATCCAGCTTAACTGTTCTGACTTATACTTGGGAGGAACTCTATTGCAATATTAGCTTGAACACCAGCTGTCCTGACTAAGGTTTCTCATCCTTTTTTTAGCCCCTCGAGACAAATGTAGAATAGTACCTTACACTGGGTTACAACCACTTCCTTCCTCATCCTTTCAAATTCATATTTACTGTTATTAAATCATTCAGTGCTATATACTCTTAGTAACTATCAGCTTCATGAAATAAACTAAAAGATGATTTTCCTGCACGCACCAGAAATTGAATTTGATTGATAAATGGGGCATATGTCATGAAAGGAGGATATAAAAATTCATACAAAATTTTAGTCAGAAAACTGGCAGGGATGAAACCACTTGGAAGACCAAGTGTTGACAGAGGAATAATATTAAAATATTTCTTACAAAATTGGGATTAATGTGAAATATATTCAACTGGCTTAGGACAGAGTTCACTGTCAAGCTGTTTTGAACATGATAATGAATCACTGATATATTGGGTTTCTGGACTTTATCCATCGTCCTAGTTTTTAAGATAACAAAAACACGACGTTTCGGAAACTGGATCTGTTTCCGTCCTCAGGTGAAGGAAAAGGGGAACACCTATTCTGTTGGGTCCGTTAGAAAGAGCTAGCCTCAATCACTGGACCAGAAACCCAATATATCAGTGTGTTATACACCATCGTCAGAATCCTATAGTAACTAATGATAATGAATGTGTGGGTTCATTAAATTATGGATAATTCCTCAACAGCAAGTGACTGTCAGATTTTCAAGGACTGCACCCCTTGGAGATAGTTGGGTAGCAGATAGATCATATGAAGGGTTGATGGTATAAAATATCGCTAAAACTCATTACTCCAGGACTGCTTCACAGATACAGGTGATTTAACTTAACACAAAAGGCATTCTGCAGAGGTACATTCAAAACCAAATATTAATATTAATAACTGGTAGAAATATTTTCTGTACAACTACTGTTAAATCTACAATAAATTTTCAAACCACTATATTAAAGAATGCTGCTGTCTTCTGGGAGATAGTGCTGTGTAGCCTGGTGAAAGTCAACAAGCATTTCAAGGGAACACATAGCCTCCATCTTCAGGGTGAAATCTCTTTCTACCTGCTTCATGCTGATTTCTTGCTTGGCTTAATTTTGACCCCGAAGTTGGAGGCGATATGTTCCTCCAGTACTTCAGATGGCTGTCACCTGACTACTGGCATTATACCACCAAACAACCCTAATAGTTACCAAACTCAGAACCTCAAATACAACATAATGCACTGAAGCTACATAAATGTAAGTCCCATGGATTGTGGATATGATGGGGCCAAAGGTTTCTCTCTCCGTGATTAATTCTGTATTCCCCTCTAGTCATCTTTGGCCTATGTCAACCATCCCTTAGCACCCGCCTATGACAAATTGCAAGTACCGCATTGAAGTTAACTGAATGGGGAGAGAGTGGAGAATAATATAAGATTAGATGCTAGAGGGAAATGTAATGGCTCAAGGGAGATGCAAAGGGGTCCAATCCAAGGGACTACTTTCTATGACCTTGGTTCAGCGTAATTTGTATGTCACTCACTGGCTATACTGCTCCACACACAGGAATGTGCAACAAGCTTCTGGACTCCACCAACTGTTCTGAGCATGAAGGTGAGCTGTTCTGCAAGGTGTGCCATGCACGCAAGTATGGCCCCAAGGGATATGGCTTTGGCGGCGGTGCCGGTTGCCTTAGCATGGACCAGGGAGAACATCTCACCAAATCTGAAACGTAAGTAGAATTTACAAATATCACACTATGACATTAATACAGAACCTAGATCATACATATTACATTTCAGAAAAAGCTGGGAAGATATTGTTTATGACAGAAGATATATTGTTCATGCTGCTTCAAGATACAGCAAGAGATTTAGGTTATGAAATTCATACACTTTGTTTTATATTAATGCATTTTAGTTCACTGTCTATGTGATGGATGGGAACTAATGACACAGTTTTGAATATTACATTATTTTCTATCTAGCATTCCAGTATTTCTTTCTGTTATTTGCCTCCGAAAACAACAAAGTGTGAGGTGACCTTTATTCATTTCATCAATCTTTTTCCAAAATATACAACTTATAGGCCATGAAGGACACCTCCATGGATAGTGACCAAACAGCTCACCTTCAAAAAATTATAAAAATACTGAATCTTAACATAGTTAAATGTTCCAGAAGTGAAGTAATCTCCTATCTGAATCCACAAGAAGAAATTAATATAGAAAACTGCTACATTGCTTATAAAGAAAGTAATTTTTACACTGTTTTAAGTGTGAAACCGCTAAGCCACTGTATCATCTCAGACAGAGGTTTTAAGAAATGAGTGAGAAAAATGACAAACATTTTCTACTAAGATTAATAAAGAAGCTGCTCACTCAAACTGTATTCTTTCTTCTGCATTCCCCAAAACGAGCTTTCCATGACAATGCAGAGACTTTAGAAGGGGGCAAAACCACCTCTAAAATTTGGCTTAACATAATTTATCTTCCATAAAATTTGGAATTTGATAAATTTATTCTGTTATTAGTTTCCTGTACTGATCATGTAACTGAAACAATTTAATGTTGCTTCAACAGAATACATTTTATTTGTTTATATTGTATAAAATTGCATTCATCAGCAGTATCAGTTAATATATAACATTGCAGTAAATTTTGAAACTGAATATTCACAAGCCAGAATGTTTTTCATTTCTACATAATTCTCAGAATAACCATTGTTTATACAGAATTTCCTGATTCATTATTTATTGTTAAAAAATGTGAAATAGTGCAGCAAGGAAATGTTACATAGATGGAAGCTAAATTAAACAATTTTGTTTCTTTTTAGTAAATTATTTCAATCTGCACCAACTGTCACTTAATTTAGCTGACAATCAGTGATCTGCCAAAATTTACTTAAGCTACACTTTTACTGTCTGACTTTTGATTGTCTGTTAAATTCATATCTTCCCCAGATCCTACATGATTAAATCTAAGGGGAATCAGTATTAGAAGAGTTAATCATGATACACGTACGTTCACCAAAATATGGTATGAATTTGAGTGCAGGTCTGCAGAATGAAAAAACGATATTGTAAAGAACAGGATTTCTATGGAACAATAAATTTTCATATGTTATGAAATGAATGTATTCTTTCTGTGTAGCCACTGCATTTTTCACACAGCAGTCTCTTGAATTTTGAAAAATAATTTTGAGACATGATGCACTTAAATGTTGCAAATATTAATCTATATCACATAATGCCATATCTGCATTTACTGTTTTCTGTCTAGCAATATCCATCTAGCTTTGCATTAAAATATAACATTATTTATTACATTATCTATGTAATATTAAATGACAGTATCGTCAGTGAACATTCAAGGGAAATATTTATGCAGCAGGGACTCATACATAATATCTCATATCACAAGACTCATTTCTTGGGCACTAGACAATAAATATCAAATCCATTTACATAATGCTTGGTTTTATGGATTAAAAAAATTATGTGTTGGTGTGATTTATAACACAAAAGATTTTTTTGAACATTAACAAGAAAGACAGCGACATTTATTCTATGTCTCATAATATAAAGCCAGTTAAATGTGACTTTAGGCTCTTAAACTGATAATGAATAAACATTGTCCAGGATTTTTCAGAATACTGTACTTTCATCCTATCACGTATTTGTAGTAAAAACTAGCATAGGCATACTGCCTAGTAAAACTTCAACTCATAATTATTAAGGTTATCAACATCACACTCGATCACAGTTAACTTATTTCACTGTGATCCACTTTTATACACAAAGCCCTAGAGGCACACTGTGAAATAGTCACTTCACTGATTATACGTGTATGTCCTATGCACAAGAGAGTGCTGCTATCAAGAGATACTCTGTGAACTACTTCTGGCAAAGTTGGATACTGAAGTACCAACTTAGCCTATTCTTCATTGCTGTTTAATACTCCGTCTTCTGATTCTATTCACAGTTTCTTGCTAAATGATATAACAGCAGAAAGCAATAATTTAGCTTTTGTGTACGAATGCTCCCAGACAGATTTACTTTGCTGTGGTTCTAACTTCTCCAATTACAGAATTTTTATATTTAGATGACAGATTTATAACTGGTCCCTCATTCCTTCATTATTCATCATTCATAACTGATCTTGTCAGTATCTCGATAAACATAGAAACAAAGCTCTGAGGAACTGTTCACATCATTAAAGCTGAGTATATTTGTTTCAGGCACTATATCATTATCACACATACATACACATTGCCATAAGGAACTCCATAATTCTTACTGTTGTTGAATATTGTAAGAACTTCAAATTCAGGCACTCAAGATTACTCTCTCTTAAGATGTGATAGTGTGTTTTTCGGTAGAGAGGCACTAACATTTCAGACAAACTTTCTCCTTCATCTTAAACCTAAAACAAATTCCTTCAAAATCCTGGTACCTCTCCACAAAATTACACTGTATCAAATTCTGAACAAGAGGTGCTGTTCATAATCACTTCTATGGAGACAACTAATCTTGGTCAATCAAGCTGAATTTTTGTACTGTCTTTCTGTGTAAATACTGGTTAGCATTTGAGAGATAAGAGCTAGAAATGAAATTGTATTTTAGCTTTTTTTCTGTAGATGGTTGTAAAGTAGTAATTCTCTTCAAGAGAATATAATGAAATTCACCTTGCAAAACACCTTTGTACTTTTAATGGGAAATATTCACCTAGTCATAGAGTTGTGTCCAAGACATTTCCAGGTCATTTAAGAAACAACCATGTTCTGAATATTATTGGAAACATATCTCTGAAATTCAGCATTCTAGCAAAATTTTATTCATATCTAAGGTTTCTAAAAATAAATTATTGTTCATGCTTGAATTTTTAGGCCTCTTGGGCTTGAATCCTGGATGGCAAAGGGGTAACATATTACAGCTCAAAGAAATGTAAATCATTATTCAATTGTTTATAAAACCTAGAGATTTTAACAATTTTTCAGAAATTTCAAAACTGAAACCCAAGCCAATAGGATGCCATTGTAACTGTCTTCCTTTGGATAATGTTAGTGATTTTTTCATTTGAAAACAGAGAATAGTGGCTACCCTTGAGTTACAAGTGACTGTAAATAAATTCGCCTATTCACTCATTCATTTCCTTTATTTTCCATATATCCATACAGGTAAAAAACCTAGGATGTGGAACTAGTCCCTTTGATAATAGGGACACACATACACAAACACACAGCTGTATCAGAAGTTTAAGTCAAATTCTACTAATTAACAGATGTAAATATGATAGGATTTTTGTCCCATGAACACCTTTGCCCTTCTTGTAATTTTAGTTATTTCAATACAAACATCAACTGTCATTTAAGCATTACATAATAAAGTATTCATTGGTTATTATGTATGTTACCAAAGGAGATTCTAATGATATTGCATTTTAGCATAATATAAAACTTCCAAATAATAGGTCAGATCATCCAGATTCACATTTCCAAACTTTCTTTTGTAATAAAATCTAATCACTTACGAGTATTGTTCACAGGTTATTTATCAATAGAATCTTCTTTCATTACCTAATGGGAGTGTTTTTTCTTGGATGTAACCTGTAACTTTCCACATTACAATGCAAACATGTTTATGTTTTTCTTAATTATAGATAGCCATGAGATTTGTTTCACAGACAATATAAAATGTTAGTTTTAGAACTGAACTGTCAATGCTATATAAAATTAGAACCTCCCCCCCCCCCATTATTTACTGATTATAGGCTTTATAATCATCGGTTATATATTTTCATCACCACTATAACAAACATTTTATATTTAAGGCTCATTTATTTTCTAGCCTTTTCTAACATGGCTTGGGGATGTAGGGTATGAGCTTCAGAAGTTTCCTTTTAGAAAATTTATATAAGAGGGCGTTTCCTTATCTTCATTGTTCTAACATTTGCACTATTGTCCACACAATATTTGTATACTACTGTTATATCTGTTACATCATGTGAAATTGCATTTCCTTTTAATTCAGCTCACTATTTGTAACCTATCACTCCTTATTTCCAAACCTTAAATTATCATTCATTATCTTTATTATATATGCATCCTTTCAAACCCTATACAGTGACCAATGAAGTGTTTGTGTACAAATCTGTATATAAAGATGCTTTAATTGCCTACACACTCATATTTGAGAAGTAAGGAAACATAAGTTAGTAAATTTTTGAAGTGCAAAGAATACAGTGATTTAAGAAATACTGTTAATTGTTAGTTACATGCAGCTATTATTACAACATTTATTTGTCTTAGGTTCCACATTTTTATTACTAGTACTGAACTGAATTTCATCATAAGTTTTCCATGATACAGAATATTTCATAGAACAGCAAAATGATAGGTCAGAGGAGTTCTCAGAACCTCTGTAAATGGGACACGTTTCTTTATATTGTCTGGAATAGAAACAAAATTGAATCACATAATTCCCAAGACATCTACAATTTTGAATCCTGCATTTTGATATCATGTTGGTATGTGAGTGACCCACCTTTGCATTTTACCCCTTATTCAAATACTAGAAAAGCAATTGCTTTTGCAGAAAGAGCAATATGAAACATGTAAATTTAAGAATCCACAACCTTGCGTGGTCAGTATTTTGAAACAGTACTCTCTGCTCTGGAATAAGGAATGTACCTTGAATCTGGCACTATAATAATAAAAAAATGACAACTCATTC